CTCCTGTCTGTGCACGTGGCATGTGTGCACTCATTCTCTCTCCACTCCTGTCTGTGCACGTGGCATGTGTGCACTCATTCTCTCTCCACTCCTGTCTGTGCACGTGGCATGCACGCACTCATTCTCTCTTCTCTCCTGTCTGTGCATGTGGCATGTTCACACTCATTCTCTCTTCTCTCCTGTCTGTGCACGTGGCATGTATGCACTCATTCTCTCCCCGCTCCCGTCTGTGCACGTGGCATGTTCACACTCATTCTCTTCCCGCTCCCGTCTGTGCATGTGGCATGCACGCACCCATTCTCTCTCCTCTCCTGTCTGTGCACGTGGCATGCACGCACCCATTCTCTCTCCTCTCCTGTCTGTGCACATGACCAGCTGCCTTCCCCCTGCCACAGTGACTCCACCACAGGTTCCAACTGTTGCCGAAACTGTGAGCTGACATAAACTTGCTCTCCCTTAAGTGACTTCCATCAGGGTGTTTTGTCACAGCAACAGGGACAAAACTGGGACAAAGTCTGGTCCCGCTTTCCCATCGGCCACCATATCTCTCTCCAAAGTCTTCTCACTCAGACAAATAAGGGGAATCAGAAGAAATGAAATCCAGATAGCTCCTTCATGGCATTCTCAAATGGGGGGAATCCACCAGATGGACCAGCAGGTACTAGGAAGGGTAAGGTATTAGCCTAACATCAACGGTTATTAAACTTGCTACAGGTTGTCTCCCCTATCAGTCCCCCTCAGCCACTCCCTCCGTGTGTACAGATGGTTGTAAACTAGTAATAACGAAGGGTGTAGAACTCACTCTCCACTCTTCGGTGTTGCTGGCACCCTCACTTCTTACTGGGACCCTCAGGGGATGCCTTCCCTGTCCTTACCAAGCGACCTCTTCACCCACACTGACCTTCCCAGCCCTTGATGGTCATACCGGAAGGAAAGTATCCCTCACATGGTCTGCGGGACTTTTCCTGCCACTGGTCCCTGGTGTGTGCAGCTGACGCTCCGGAGCCTGAGCTACCTGAATCATGGAATGTGCCGAATCCATCCTCAAGTCTGGCCTCAGCATCTGCTTGTGCTCTCGACTGAACACATGGGCCCATGGCTGGTCAAGGGATGAGGCAGATCCAGGAGACGGCGCTCATGCTGACCTGGAACTCACGTGTAGACAGGGAGGCTCATGGACTCCACTCCCATCAGAACACACTCTCGACTCAGACAGGCTCTTAGACTCACGTAAACAACCCCATCTTGCTGGTGTCTGGGACATTTGCGCACCCGGATGTGGAACATCTTGGGCTTCTATGAGGTCTGTCACATGCCCGTGTTGTGTGTAGTTGGGCTCCGTATGTTTTCCACCACCAGATAATTAAATAGTTTCTTTCCAAACCCTGGGCCATCTCTGAATCACTGCGCTCTCATCCCAGCAAGCAAAGTGAGCAGTGGTGTTCATCCCTCCCTTCACCCAGGAAGTCTGTGGAGAACACCGATTCCAGACTCAAATAAATCGCTAGGGTGGTTTTAAAAAGAACTCTGCATATTTTCAAAGGTGCAGAGATAATGTAGGTCACAGCACATTTGGATGTCGATGTGGCTTGTCTGTATATCTTGGTAAAAATAAAGCATGTATTCAGTTATTTAGCTAATTGTATACAGTTGAGTCTGGAGTGTCTGCCAGTGCTGTCTTGTGACTATACACAGGACTATTCTATGCACACTCATTTTAATGTCACTGCTGCAGCTACAACAGACACCAGCTATCAATTAGGTTAATGTTTTATTTACTTTATATATCAAGGAAAAAGCCATTTGGTTAAACTTATCTACTAAATCTCAATTACAGTATCATAGGATACCAGCTAATATCTTTTGGGATAAAATCTGGAATAAATCAGTTCCGTTAATAATCTTGGTAGGTTTAAGATCAAATAACCCTTTGTTCTCAAATTTAAATACTTCATATTTTTAGTGTGTTTAGGAGCCAATAACAGGAAAGTACAGCATGCTCTAAGACAATGGGGTTCTCCTTGCTCTAAAGCAAAGAAGGAAGCCTGGAAGAAGGTTAGTGACCTTCACAGAGCAGTCCCCTCTTGACTGTGGAGCCTGCGGTAGTTCTGGGAGGTGGCTCTGAGTGGCTTTTACAGTCACATTGAGCTCATTAGGAACTTTGCTGTCTTCTTTCTGGTTACTTCCCTGCTTGGCAACAAAAATAATCAGAATGGCAGCAAAAAATGAAAGAACAATATGTCATATTATTATTTTAGCAGGAACTAGGTATTGCCATAAACAATCTTTCTAGGCAAGGAAACTTTCACTTTATTGTCTAACTTTTAAAATTTATAGATTAAAACCAAAAATTTTACAGATTTATCATATAATATCTGGTGTTTTGATGTATGTGAACTAAATTTTATTAAAATAAATAAGTTTTAAATATCTTTATGGAAAATATATAATTTATAAATATTAAAGAAAATTTTAATAGGCATCTAAAATAATTTTATGTTCTATTTTTAATATTTTCTTGATTACTAACTGCTTAAGATCTAGAATACGGATGCTCTCTGCATTCATTCATTCATTCACTAAGTACTTACTGACTGTCATGTTGGACTAAGAACTGTGAGAGGCAGCAGAGATAGAACCATGAAGGAAATACACAAAAATGCCCGCTGTGGAGTTCACATCCTGGTCAATATGCCAGGGTTTCAATGGATCCCCAAATCCCACACGTGGGAAATTTGTCATCAATGCAGCGGTGTTGAGAAGCCGCACTTTGGGACATGGACAGTCATGAACTGACTTTGTTCAGGAATGGATGGACCTATGGCTTCCTGAAAGGGAGGCAAGGTTATGGAGCGGCTCTCTGCACTGTGCGCCCTCTCACCCCATGAGGACCTCTGACTTGTTGTGATAAGGAAGAAGCCCACCACACACACCACACTGCACACAGACACATGTGAACACAACACATAGGCACACACATCACACCACACTGCACACACACACAGGCACACACACCACACTGCACACAGACACATGTGAACACAACACATAGGCACACACATCACACCACACTGCACACACACACAGGCACACACACCACACTGCACACAGATACATGTGAACACAACACATAGGCACACACATCACACCACACTGCACACACACACAGGCACACACACCACACTGCACACAGACACATGTGAACACAACACATAGGCACACACATCACACCACACTGCACACACACACAGGCACACACACCACACTGCACATATACACACACATCACACCACACATACACACATCACACCACACATACACACACCACACCACACCACACTGCACATACACACCATACACACACACATAGGCACACACACCACACCACATCTCACACACACACACACATCATACCACACACACATAGGCACACACACACACACATAGGCACACACACACACACACACACACACACCCCAGATGTTGAACAGATGTCAGTAATACCCTTGGGTTTCTCAACCTCTGCAGCATAAGTTAAGCAAACCTCTATTGCTTAGAAATGACAGTTTTAGGCGTTTTGTTACAGAGACAGAAAACAAACTGAGTCTTCAGTCAAGATGCTTGCTTCTGTTAACTGACTGCTCTAGTTTAGGTTCCTTCCTACAGGGCCAGTCCTTACTTCTTGCTAGCACAGCCTCGTCTTGTGATCTGGGGCACCGCTGTGAGACTTTTCCGTAAGCATCTGCCTACTGTAACAACTCATTGCTTGCTCTCCTGGGGGAATTCTATCCCTGTGTTCAGGATCTTTCTTTGTCCTCTTTAGTGGTTTGTGTGATTCCATTCCGATATGACTCTATCGGGATCAAAGATCTCTGTGTCATTCTTTCCCTACGAGGATAAAATGGATCTTTGTGTAAACGGGGCTCTGAGAAGAGCAGCAAGCAATGTCATAGACTAATATTACAAATATGGTGTTTCTTATGGTTGCAGTAGCCTTTCCTAGTCATTCTCAAAACTTTTAACAGAATTTAGAAATACAAACACCAGTTTTTTTAAGGAAGAAAAAAAAATCAACACTCCTGTGGTTTTCTCTTCCTAAAGTCCTGGGGATTGAACCCAGGACCTTGAACATGCTAAGCAAGCACTATACCTCTGAGCTACGCCCCAGCCCACCTCATTTGTGGCTGTTGTTAAAAAAGGGTTTGTAGGAATGCAGGAGGCAAGCAGGAATTCTGAACTGCACCAAGGAGCCACGGTGGCCAAGATAAAAATGGACACCTGAGGCTCATTCATAAACTCATGGGAGTCAGACTGGGGTCACCTGGGGGGGGGCATGTGGGTAAGAAGTACAGTTCTGAGATGGATCCCCCTCCTCCTCAGTTTATTCATCTGGAAAACAGTGTACACGGCCCTTCCTTTGCAGGGCTGTGAGGTTGAGACGGATGAGCTCAGGTAAAGAGCTTGCAGTGTACAGTAAGAGCGGGGAAAATGTTAGTTATGACCTCAATCTCTTCGTTTTCGGCTCTTCTTTGTTTTAGGCTCTTTTTTCTTTTCCTTTTCTTCCCCAAGCCCCGAGACAGGGTTTCTCTGTGCAGCCCTGGCTGTCCTGTAACTCACGCTGTGGATCAGGCTGGCCTCGAACTAAGGAAGTCTGCTTCCTGAGTACGATATTAGAGGCATGCGCCACCGCTGCCCCACTTCTTCATTTGTTTTATAGATAGACAAGACAACAAGGCCCTAAAATTTTGAAGTGCATAGTAAGTTAGAAGTAAGACCATTGCTTAAGTCAGGTGCTCCGATCCTCCCCCAGGTACTCAGACCGGCTCCCCATATCTGCGAGCTTAGCGAAGGAAAGACTCCTGTAAACCACACAGGGATGACTGAGTTGTTTAATCCTTCCACCTCTCCATAGCGAAGGACTCCAAGCCTCTCTGCCCCGGACCCGGCTCCACATTCAGACAGAGTTTAAATGCTAACAGCGCAACGGTTCCTGTCCTCACCTTAAACTTGTCGACTTCGGCCTTGGAACACGTGGCGTGGTACGACAGCACCTGGTGCGGAAGAGGACAGAGCGTCAGTAAGTAACCATGACTCCTTTCCCCCTAGCTTTTCCAATTGCCTTTCACTTTCAGGAGAGCCTCCCAAAAGCGTTGGATTGTGAGACAAATAATGTCTGTAAGGTTTGCTTATTAGCAACCAAATGAGTTTCTACTGGCGAATTTTTATTGTAGTAGTGTTACCTGGGGTGGGTTTGTACTTCCCTGAGTTCTTAGGAAAACTGAGTGCAATGGTATATGTCTACCCAGCACACAAATTAACTTATGTTGATACTATTAACAGTTGTTAAGTTTACAACATACATATTTGGCTGAATATCATATATTATAATTTTCATTGATTCAATGGTTTTTCAATTCTGTTCTTTTGGTTCTGTTTTATTAAGGTAAACTAAATTTATTGTTATTGTAGATTGTCTTAGGTGTTTGCAACTCTTTTTTGTATATTAAGTCTTTAAAATAGGCTGTTAACCTAAAACTGAAACCAAAAACTGCAATTATAATCTCCGCCACTAGATGGTGATCAGCCAGGCTTTTAGCTTGTGGCTAAGGCCTGCTACCGCTTTCCTTAAATCCATTCTCCATTTCTTTTATTATTTAAGAGAAAAAAAAAACCTATCAATGATACTAAATTGCAGCTATTTGAACCAGTGAAGCAAGTAATTATTATAGACTAAGGTTCTCCGCTCACTTAAAATTAGTTTCTTTTTTATATTTAATTGAGGTATAGGGTTTGTAGTATATTTTAGAACCAAGGTCTATTGTATATATATATATTTGTGTATATATATATATATTTGTGTGTATATATATGTATACATATACATAAACATTGCTTCCCAGTCTATAGTGTAATAGTATGCTTTTGTTTACTTATTTTTAAGAGGAGGGCTATCTTCACTGCCCTGAAGATTCTTCTGCCTCAGAATCTCAGCAGCTAAGACTTACAGGCATGTGCATTGTCCCTGGTTATTCTTTTAATGAAATGAAGTTTTCAATTTTGATTTATCATACTTGTCATGCATCTTTTCTAAGAAGTGCTTGCTCACCTCTAAAGTTACTGACATGTATGCTTACACGCATGTGCACACACATACAACTTGTCCTACCTTCCTGTCTTCCAGAAGTTTATTGCTTGTTTTTATGTCTATGATAAATCAAAACTAATTTTGTACGTAGGGCAAGACAGAGACTTAAGGAAATAAATACTTTGGATATATTTTCAGGGCTATTAAATTTTCCTTATTTTATTTATTCTGACGAATAATATCATCAAGAAGCTTTTGGTTTGTGCCTTTAAATCTTATCTCCTATTCCATGACTCAGAACCGGAGGGTGGAGGAGGAATCGGGCTCAGAGTACTTTGGGTTTGTTTTGATTTTCTGGGACAGAATATCACATTATATTCTAGGCTCTCCTGGGATTCATGACCTAGCCTGGCTGATCTCTAACTTGTGAAGATCCTCCTGCCTCAGCCTCCAAGAGCTGGAACTCTGAGAGTTACCAATTTTGATTTCAAGAATCTTTCAACCACCTTCTCCTAAAATGTCCAGTGCCACGGAGATGAACAGGAGGGAATTCTCACGCCTCGTTCTATGGCATCCAGCCTTTATGGTAAATTGGGGAGATGGTAGCAAGTCCCTCTAGCAATCCCCAGAAAAGCAGTGGCAGAGGAGCAAGTTACTCAAGATAGAGAGAGCCCGAGTTTCCCCAGGGCTATTTCAGTATTACTCCAGGCCCTTCTTGTTATTTAGTTCTAAAGGGCTTCAAGACTGTACTAAGGAGGATTTTTTTTTTTTTCAGTGCTGTGTTGGTTTGAACATAGGCTCCTACGTTTATTGGTCTCCAGTTGGTGAACTGGTTTGGAAGGTTTAGGAGATGTGTCACTGGGGTGGGCTTTGAAGTTTCAAAAGCCCAAACCCTTCCCAGTTAGCTCTTTCTTTCTGCCTGGTGCCTGAGAGCTCTCAGCTACTGTGATAGCGCCAAGCCTGCCTGCCAGCTGCCATGCTACCCCCGTGATGGTCACAGACTCTAACCCTCCGGAACTGTAAACCCCTATAAACTCTTCCTTCTGTAAGCTGCCTTGGTCGTGATGTCTCTTCACGGCACTGGAAAAGTAACCATGGCAAGTGCTATGGGTTGGACCCAGGGCCTTGCGTGTGTTAGGGAAGAATGTGGGATACTCCGTGAATCTGGGAACCCCCCTGCACAGAGACCCTGTCCATCTTCTCTGTGTCGTTACCGCTTTTCATGCAGCCCTCGGGTGCACCTGGGAAGGGCGAGGCGGTTTCTCCCTCTGCTGATTTTCTGTGTTTGCTACATACACAGGGTGGAGCAATGAGCGTCAGTGGCTACCCTTCTCTGTGTGGCTCTCTGACTAGAGGTGGTCTTGCTACTCCCAGCTTCTTCTTACAAAGGCTGTGACCAAAAATGACAAACTCATTATTTAGATCCCTTTTAAACTTTAAATTCACACGTGAATGTGTGTGTGTGTGCATGTGTGTGTGTGTTATGTGTGTGTGTGTGTGTGTGTTACGTGTGTCCAGCTAAGGGAACTACTTGTGGGAGTCAGTTCTCCCTTTCCATAATAAAAACCTTGGGTATTGCCTTAGTTAGGGGTTTTATTGCTATGAAGAGACACCATGACCACAGTAGATCTTATAAAGAGAACTTTTAATTGGGGTGGCTCGCTTACACTTTTGGGGATTCAGTCTATTAGCATTATGACAGGGAGCATGGCAGTGTGCAGGCAGATGTGCAGGTGGCTGCATCTTGTATGCAGGCCACAGGAAGCCAGCTGAGACACTGAGCAGTATCCTGAGCATAGGAAACCTCAAAGCATGTCCCCCACAGAGACACTTCTTCCAAGAAGTCCATAACCACTTCAACAAAGCCACACCTCCTAATAGTGCTACTCCCTATGAGATTATGGGGCCAATGACATTCAAACTACCACAGGGATCGAACTCAGGCTATGGGGTTTGGCAGCAACGGCCTTGATGCCCTGAGCCATCTCACCAGGCCTGCCTCTCTGCTTTCAGAGTGTCTGCAGATACTGCTAATGTCATGGAGAAGAACTTCAACATCTGTGATCATGATCACCACCCACCTCCATCAGTCTCAAAGCTACCTTCACCACTGCACTGACACCTTGGCTCAAATTTCCAATCTTTTATTGACCAATCTGCCCACAGACGCTCAGATGCTCCCATGTGGCAGAACTAAACCCAGAGGCTCACACTTCCTTTTTTCTTTAAGGCTCCTCCCTGGGCTCCCCTGGCCGCACATTGTTTGAGTTCTCACCCTGTGTCTCTGGCTCTTCCGCTGCTTTTCTCCTTGCTTTCCTCTCCCACTCTAAGTGCAATAGTTTTCTATGACCGTTCTCTTTTCCGACCACGCCACGGCACTCCATCGCTTTCCATGGCTCGCCTGTTAAGTGCGAATCTGTCCTTGCACGTCCCACTCCTGTTCACATTGACCACCATGATGAGTTCCTGATGGGCTGACTCACTGGCAACTCAAATTTAACACGCCTCAAACACACATGTTGATTTTTTTCCACACATGCTAGAGAGAACAAGACTCTCCAACTCCGACTCACAAGACATCCGTGTCCATCTCATAAGACATCTCTGTTATCTGTGAACACATTATAGTAGATCGCAAACAGAGGTGTCCACAGAAGGAATTAACACTGATAAGTAACTAAGTGGGCCTAGTGTATCCCCACCATCCTTACAAGCTTAAGAAGGGAGGGAGAAAGAGTCAGAGTGATGTGGTGTGATGCTTGGTCAGTCAGTGAAGGTTAGGAGATGGGCCGTAGCAATGAGGCTAGCTCTACAGGGCAGAAAGGCCAGAGACACAGACCGCTAACATCTCCAGTAGAACAAAGACCTTCCTACATCTCGACTTTAGCCTTGTAAGGTCTCTTGTAGACTTACAACCTCCAGAATTACAGCATAATAAATTTGTATTGTTTTAATTCACTGGATTGCAGTGAATTCATTAAGGCAGCAAAAGGAAACGAATATTCTGCACAAATCTTTTCTCCCAGAGACTTTCTTGGCTCCATAAGTAGCACCCTATCCAGCAATTTATTTAAACCAGAAACCTCAGGATTATCTTTGACTTTTTCCTCTGAACTCTTTTCCTAACACCAAATTCATCAGGAAAAATATGACATCTCCGCTCCTGTAACTCCATGTGTCCATCAGAGCTGCAGAGCTTGGATAAAGACTCTGGTCTCTGTGTCACCATCAGGTAGAGTAAGTTTGCACAAGTCAAAATCCGCTTGTCCCATCCTCCAGATGAAAACCCACCATCAGGTTCTCACCAATCCCAACGCTGCCTGCAGATTGCTTACAGTTTTTAGCTTAACAGGGTAATCCAGTCCTATGCAAGGACTCAGTAGGTCCTGTACAATTTGGTCATTGGCACCCTTCAAACTGCCCTTAATGTCACTTGTCCTCTTCTGTCTACTCCAATCCCACTGACCTCCTTTTGACTCTTTAAAACACCAAGTTCTTCTTCACCTGAGTGCTCCCTCTCATTTTACCCGGAAGGGATCAGCTTTTGAAATTAGGTTGATTGTCATGTCTACAGTGAGATCCTCTCCGATCACTTCAAGAAACCACTTCTCCCCATTTTGCATCCTTCGAGTTGAGGATGCTTTCTCCATCACTTATCTCAACTGCCTGTGTCCCCACCCCCACCCACCCAGAGCTCAGGCATCATTATTGTAGTTTGGCTCTGGAATGGCCCTCAAGAGCTAATTGTGAAAGGTCGCGTCCTTCGGGATGGGGCCTGGTTGGAAGAAGCAGGCCACTGGTGGTATACTTTGGAAGGGTAGTAGTCTGTCCCTCGCGTCTCTCCTCTGTCTCCCTTTGCTTCTCAGGGGCCTTGAGTTGAGCAGCTTTGCACCAACTGTGCTCTCAGTCTTGTCTCAGGTCACGTGACCATGAAACCATGAGTCTTTGTTTTCCTCTGGTAATTTC